GACCCGGCGGCGCCCCCTCTCGGCCCCGCGTGCGCCCTGCGGTTGCCCTTTCCCAGAGGCCCGCCACCCCGTGCGGTTGTCTTGGAGAAGGACGCGTAGGGGAAGCTGCCGTGGGCTGGTCGGATCCTGTGGGTGGAAGAGGAACAGAGACCTCTAATTCAGCCACCCACAGGGTAAGCCTCATAGAGTCCTGTCCTGCCTTCCTGCCCCCACGAGGGTCCCAGAGGCGCTGCGGACGGCACCAGTATGTCGAGTGAGCAGAGCTTGCCGGGGTCCTCACCCAGAGCTCCACGTCTTGGTGCCCAGAGGTCGTCCGGTGCGGTGACCAAGAAGGGGGAGCGTGCGGCCAAGGAGAAGCCGGCGACCGCCCTGCCGCCAGTGGGCGAGGAGGAGTCCAAAAACCCTGGTACGCTAGCGGTGGGGGTTGGGGGATCCGGCCTCAAGGCTGGCCCCACGTGTTCCCACCCACCACTCATTGCTCGGTTAGCCAGGTTTAGTTTCTGAATCTCAGCTCGGTAGATATTTGAATTGAACTTGATCTTAAAGAACCCACACTCTGGTTTGGGATGCTGACAAATACAATGAGAGAGGATGGGAGGGCAGAGGGGAGGTGCCAAGAGGCGCGTTTGAGCAGAGTTTTATAGATATTCATTTCATTTATTCAACAATTACTCTTTTTTTTTTTTTTTTTGTCTTTTTTCGTGACCGGCAAGGGGATCGCAACCCTTGGTGTGGGGTCGCCCGCACCGCGCTCAACCAGTGAGCACACCGGCCATCCTTATATAGGATCCGGACCCGCGGGGGAGCGCCGCTGAGCTCCCAAGCGCTGCACTCTCCCAAGTGCGCCACGGGCCGGCCCTCAACAATTACTTTTGAATGCTCTGCGGCTAGGAGATGCACACAGTCCTGCTCTCGTGAAATTTACATTCTCTGGGAAGAGAAAATCATTAGAATTGTATATATAGGGGTGTGGCTCTTTTCTTTGCAAGTGATAGAGAACCCCAACTCTAATTAAGCACAAAGGGGAATTTATTGGAAGGCTTCTTCTTCTTCTTTTTTTTTTTAAAGATGACCGGTAAGGGGATCTCAACCCTTGGCTTGGTGTTGTCAGCACCACGCTCACCCAGTGAGCAAACCGGCCATCCCTATATAGGATCCGAACCCGTGGCCTTGGTGTTATCAGCACCGCACTCTCCCGAGTGAGCCAAGGGCCGGCCCTGGAAGGCTTCTTGATACAGATCTATCAGCTTTGCCATCAGAGAGGGACAGAAACTAGCTGTCCCTGGAATCGAGGTAAAGTAACTTGGGAAAAGGCTCTGATTGTCCAACTTTGGCCAGGTGCCATCTCCTTGTCCATGCTGGTGGCTGGTGGGGTCGGGGGGGGGGAAGAAATTATGAGAGTTGGAGGAGAAAGAGCATCTTCCAGAAGGGAAGACAAGACAGTATAGAATCCCCTGTAGGTATGAACCCAGTTGCATTGAACACACGCAGATACCACTATGGTTGTTATATCAAAAATAAAGTGGAATGGGGAGAGAATGGAGGTGGGGAGATGAGTTATGAGGCTCTTTTAACAGCCCAGTCCAGAGATGGTGGTAGTTGGTATAGGGCAGTGAGGGTGGAGAGGGGTGGACAGGCTAGGATCCTTGGAGAAAAACTGCTGAGGTAGAAGTAATAAGAGTTGGTGAAGGATTGGATAGGGTAGGGAGTGAGGGACATAGTGAGAGTGATTCCCAGGTTTATGGACTGGGCACTGGGTGGGTGGAGGTGCCATTCATGGAGATGGGAAAGCTCGAAGGAGGAGCATATAAGGGAGGACCTTTAAGGGGTGATGTCAGCTGGGCAACTGGATGCATGAGTCTGGAGCACCAAAGAGAGGTCAGGTGTGGAGACGTGACTTTGGAAGCTGCTGATGTTCTGGTATATTTAAGCCCTGGGAATGAAAGAGATCCCGGGGTGGTGGTGGGGGATGGGGGGCGAGGTGGGGAGTGTAACTGGAGAAGAGGAGAGGGCTCAGGACCCAGCCTGAAAGCCTGTAGAGGAATAGCAGCTCAAGGGAGTCTGAGCAGCCTCGGCAAAGAGGTAGGAGAGAATGGGAGTGATGACTGCACAGGGACCCTGGATTGGGCAACACGGAGATCACAGTGGCTTCAGCAGGCACCACTGTGTACCCTGGCAGAGGCAGATGTGGGCTCACATGGAGTAGAGATGGCTGATGTAGGAAGGGGTATAGGTTTAGAGGAAATCGCAACTGATGGCTTCTATTTCTCAAGAAGCTATAAGGCAAGGTCATTAATGAGCATGAAGGAGTGTGGGAGAGGAGGAGAGCGGAGCCTCGCTGTTCAGTAGGTAACTTGTAGCTAAACTGCAGAGAGAACATTTCCACATTGCATTAAAATTCTCCAGGACAGTGCTGTTCTAGAGCAGTGCTTCTCAGGGTGCTGTCCTTGGACCAGCAGCTTTGGCACTGTGTGTGAACTTCTTAGCAATGCCAACTTGTTGGCCCCTCCCAGTCTACGGAATCAAAATCTTGGGGGATGGGGCCTGGAAAAGT